GGAACAGAATAATGATCAAACACTGACACCTGCTGGCGACTGAAGGTGCTGCGAGTCATTAAAGGGTTCAATATGCATAACTTTTTTTTTTTTTTTTTTAGACATATAGGAACAGTTTTTTTCAATGCAACTGTTTTTTTGTTTTTTTTTATAGAAAAAATGTAAAAAAGTTACAGGATTTCATTTTGGGTGAACTGTCCCTCACAGATCACATTTATATTTTTTCTCATACAGTATTGTACATGAGTTTTGTGTGACATTTCATCTCATTTCTGACCACTAGAGAGCGCTGCTGATATACTGAGAGACTGAGAACATGCACAGACTGTTTGTTGTAGTTTGCTTTTACACAATGTGAAGCATTTCCAGAATCCAGAATCCAGAATAAAAAGGGATACTGCTACAAAAACACGTTCTGGATTCTTTTCTGCTCTGCTTTATTTCCCAAAGAACATCTCAAGGAAGTTCTTAATGCACAAATTTATGAAATTATGTGAAAATATGGTTCGTATAAATCAGTAATGTCAATTCAGACTGCGTTTTTCAGATAAAATGTGTTACAAGAAAAAGAAAAAAAAACCTCTGCGAGTAAATATGATTGGGAATATTCCTCAGCTTTTTTTCCCAAGAGCAATTTCAAATCTTACGAGTAAATACAAATTGGCAAAATAGTTACTATTTTAATGCTGCCCTGATTTGCATCTTTGTTAAAGTGACAATTCCATTTCAAATCTTGCTCTTTGATATTATCGTTATTATTATTTAATATAGATTTTATTTTAGTATTCTTTATTTATTTTGTAGGAATAAGTGTGCCATGTGAAATTGATTTGTTCCCGTTTTAAATGTGCAAAATGTGTAATAAAACAGTTCAATCTTGTTTCACTTTTTTCTTCTTTTATGGGAAATGTTTCCTGAAAAAAGCATCTACAGCATGTTGAGTTTATTTGCTATTAAACGGAACAAGTCTAACTATTGAGATATCAAATGAAATGACGATCGTTAGAATTGCATAAATGAATTGTGGCGTATATTGTTATTTTGATATCTTTCTGGAGACCAGAAGAGTCATCAGAATCATCATAAACACGTACAAAAAACAGACCTTACAGGGCATATGTTTTATTATAAAATTAAACAGCCAAATATAACATTGTCTTTACAATATTAAGATTTCCAATAATATTACACAATGAGATTTTCAATATAACTAACAGACAAAATTCAAAATTGTCCTGAAATCTCCTAAAAAAAAAATTTTAATCCCATCTGATAGATAATTCAACTGTCTTGGAATAAAACACACCAACACATTAGTCCTTCATTAACTCTTTCATCCACAATAATCACAGCTGCTAAAATGAATAAATGCCAACAGACTTCATAAGGACTGCAGAGCTTAAAACTAAAGAACAGTCATGAAAGTCCTGATCAGAAAACGCTTGAGGTACTGTCCGCTCCAGAGAAGCACTGCAGGACGTTAGTGTCGTGTTTGGGTAGCTATGAATGAAGCGCTCTAGAGAAGCTTATGAGTGTGTTCCTCACGGGCCGGACGATCCGGTTCTGAAGAGTCCCGTCCTCCGGAGGTGTCTGACGATCAGCGGCACTGACACCAGCGTGATGCTGATCCGCAGCGGAGCGAAGAGCTTGTGCACGGCGTACGCTAACACAAACGTGCTGGTGCCGGCGGCCATCCGCGACTGAACCACCGACTCACTGAAGCCCAGCTTACACAGCAGCGCTGCCATGTCAAACCCGCTGAAAACACACACACACACACACAGGCTTCGAAGATGAGTCGCGTGCACTGCGCATTTGTAAATCACTTCAGATGAAAGCATCTGCTAAATGAATGAATGTAACGCAATGAACCACAACAGGAAGTGCATTAGTGATTTTACCACAGTATGACCAGCAGTGTCGGGGGTAACGCATTACAAGTAACGCGAGTTACGTAATCAGATTACTTTTTCAAGTAACTAGTAAAGTAACGCATTACTTTTTAATTTACAAGAGAATATCCGAGTTACTTTTTCCAATAAGTAACGCAAGTTACTTTTTTTTTTCCAATTTATTGA